ACCAATGATCCCAACGGATTTTCCATTTACGTTTAAACGTGCCCAGGGCTCGAATCGTAACATCCGTTCATAATCCGAAAAATGTGTTTTTACGTGACGAGTAGTACGATATCGTATGTGACGATTCGACCCCAGTTTCCAGTAGAGACATGCTTTTCCATTACCATCAATAAGTCCCAAAGGCAAACCTTCAACGTTGTCGGCATTGATCTTCGTAACGAAGTGTTTACGCATGGCTAACTATGGTTGCGTTCCCTAACTCACAAGAAGTTGCAAGAATTTACGGGAATTTACCAGAAAGCGTTCCCGTACTCGGTTCTCTGGCTTCTTTTGCCTTTTGACAGTTTTACAGGTTTTAACCCAGAAAAGTTGGGGAACGCAACTTATATGTGGCACTTTCACGTATCGGTTCATCAGAAAATCAAACTTTTCTTATTCAAGGAAATGGAAATGAAACGCGAAACGTTGTTTTTACTGAAGTGTACAACAACTAAAATTCAAATAACTCTATTTTATAAGCATTACTACTACATATTTAATTTATGCTGTACATTCCTTATATGAAAAAAGTATAAAATATATTCATACACACATATGTATGTGTATTTTAAGCCTTTTATTATTAAAATCTTTAAGGACGTTTGTAAATGTATTTAAAAGATTAAAGATCCGTGGCGAAACTTAGGGTAACAATGGCCGGATGAATTATGGATACTAATAAAGGCAACATTCTTCTCCTGAAGAGGTTTTCCCACTTGAGTTTCAATACGGGTTCTCCTTAACGTTGATGCAAAATTGCTCACGAGGCGTAGCGAAGCACGCCGGGTATTAGCCAGTTTGTGTATAAAGAATATTCTAACATCACCGTCAACATAACACAGTCACCAAATTCAGCCACCGCACTGCCAAGTACAGATTGGCTATTGCTCTTTAAAAAAACATTTCGAAAATTCCCTTTACATGCATTTTCGTACAATCGAAAGAGTATTAAGTAAATTGTTTACAAAATTTAGGCGAAAAGAAATGATGGCTAAATACCAAGAATGAGGTCAAAACTGAATACAACAAAAATCGTTTCTGAAACAATATAGACGTCTAGTATTTGGAACCAACGAATAATGTACATACATATGTATGTACGTAGTTCGGAAAATGCAGTCATTCTATGTATGTACATGTGCCTGTGTTCAAATAATATTGGATGAGGACTATCGGCGGCAACGAAACCAACCGCAGCAACAGCTGCTGGCTGTGGGATCGGCGGACGAGCGAATGGCCAAATGAACGTTTTGTAGGCCGAAAGAGAGAAAAAATTTGTTTTTCATTCATTTTTAATACAGAAATTTAATTTATTTTTAGAAAACTGAAATATGCGTCTATTTCGTTGGGTCGCTAGCTTAAAAAGAAATTCTTGTGCGAGTACGAAAGACGTGTTCTCGAGCGAGTCGTTTTCGTTGTCGTTTGTGTTAAATATGTAATTACAGAATTTACGAAATAGTTTTATGATTTTATTGGAATTTATAAAATAGTTACCAAGTTTGGGAAAAAATTAGTAGTATGTGGCACGCGTACAATACGTTTGGTGTGCTACTTTCGAGCTGTCAGTTCGCACTGAATCTTGTCTAATTTGTGTTCTTTTTTGCCCAATAGTGAGGTCATCCTACTCGTTTTTGAAATTTCCGAAAATGTGTTCACTGGCCGCATTGAAGTGTCCACTTTGTGCGCAGACAAATTTTCCGAATATCGACGCGTTGCGTATCAGTTTAATTAAAGCGGCCAATGGGCCACTGGCCTGTCCCATTTGCCATGAACTCTTTTTGGGTTTGGACAAGTTGACCATTCATCTATTTAGCCATACAAGCGTAATGATGAGTGCAGCAACAGAGGCGGCAGCAGCGGCGACAGATACCAGAAGACCAGTGGAAACTGAAATGACGAAAAAGGCAGCGGTGAAGTCAGAGATGAAATTAGAAACGCAAGATGCAACCAGCTCATCATCTGCACGAATGAAGCGTTCTAATAAGGAAAAGAAAACTAAAAAATCGCGACAAGTTGTCGAAGTTGCACCACAAAGAGTGGAAAATGTAAATGTCAGTACTGCGTTTAGTCAGCAAGCGGTTGTTGGCACAAATGATAAATCTGAAAAGGGATCGGCGGCCACCCTCTCCACGTGTGATATTTGTGAGTTTACCTTTCGTGATGAGGAGCTGCGCAACATGCACTTTCGTCTTGTTCATCAGAACGTGAGCCACACCAGCAACGATCACTCAGCCAATGCCGTCACTTCCACCGAACCCGATTTCAAATGTCATCTTTGTTCGAAGACCTTCAAAATGAAGGGTTCTCTACGCGTGCATTTGAAAGTCGTACACCTAATGTGCTTGCCCTACTCAGGCAACAGTCCCAAACTAAGCATATGCGATCGCATACGACACAAGGAGTCCAAGGTTGGGACAACTGCCAGCAAAGTTGGTCCACTCAATGTGCCGCAGTCCACGTCATTGAAAACGGATATTAGCGACGAGCAAATATTGCCGCAACCACCAGTACTAACCGCACAGCAGTCATTGCAACCACAACAACAAATAACATTGACCGCAAACTCGCCACAGGTCGCGCCGCAAGTGTCCAATGGATTTACGTTCGGTGCACTGACTTTGTTACCCGCGCCATCGGTAGCGGCTAATGCAATGGGCAGTTTGTTGAATTTGAATAGTAACGGTGAATTTGTGCATGCTGTAGAGGGCGCGCCGCTAAATTCAAATGTGCTGTTAGTCATTAATACAAACCCGGCAGCCGCGGCCGGCATAGACGCGGTGACCACGGCGATTGCTGGTGGCGGCGCAACTGCGGAGCCACAGGGTAAAACTGCAGCGGAAAGCTCCAAAATGTGGAAGTGTAATGAATGCGCGAAAACCTTCACCACAAAATACTTCTTGAAAAAGCATAAGCGTCTGCATACGGGTGAGCAAAAAATGGTAAAAAAGTTATGCTGCTTCAAAGCTTTCAGTACATATTTTATTTTTTTAGAAATACTACGTGTATCCTCAAACCATTTACTTATGTATTCTTACTCTCCTTCTACCCGCGGCAATACATCCCATAAATCCTGTAACTTGTAGCCGTCACGTATACGCTCCATTGCGAATCCCAACTCTTTGCAATAGACCGGTTCCCGTGTTGGTGCCTCAGTGCCGGTTATTGCAGTACCTTCTGCCAAATAGGTATTAAGTTTTGTGTTGACCTCGCGCTCTTGACGTTCATCGATCTCCAGAAACTCATCGGGCTTGAATTCTTCGGCCTCTTTCATGCTAGCTAATCGTTTTTGTGCTTCCGCTGAGTCATAACGCACGCCAAAGTTGGGATTCTCCGAATAAATGGCATGCAGTGATATGAGTTCCTTGTAGATTTCATTCAGCCGTTCAACGGGGTCTATGCGAAAGCCGAGCACATAGCCACCTCCAGTTTCGGCTGTTTGTATAACTAGCGCGGGCCCATACTTCGACTCACGAATGCGTATCTGTAAATAGAAGAAGATAAACATGTGTATGTGCATACATATGTAAATAGGAGAATAACGTGAGGAGCTAAATTGGAAAACATAAAAACATCTATCGGGAAGGGAAATATATAGAATGTGAGGGATGCTCTTGATGATGTCATCAGGCAACAAGTTAGAAAGAAAAAGCGAATCGCGTTGAGGAAATGTAGTCACCAACTACTTTCTTTGCGACAACGCTTTTGAGGTCTTATGCTCAACATGTGACTTCCATGGAAGCTTGAAATCCAGAATTACTCCTAGATACTTGACTTAAATTGTGGTTGCCTTAAAGGGAGTTGAACCATCCGAAGGTTGGTTCTAGTGAAGAGCACAACGCTAGTCTTGGTTGGGTTAGCAAACAGCCCATGCTCACTACACAAAATGTCAATCATATTCAGTGTTCGTTGCGATTTCCGGCAAACAACTGTCAGAGAATGCCCCGTAATGAGCTAGGCCACATGATCTGCATAGGCCTGGACAACTACTACAACGGCAAGTCTTTGTCTTGTCCTAGTTTGTCACTAAACCAACTTCTTTTGCCATCTGTTCTAAGTTGCACTCTAAATGTTTTACTTCATAAAGTGACAGATTGTCTTATAAACTGAGAATTTAAAATAATCTGCTGGATTAGAAAATGTAACATGTTGGGGATAGTGAAGAATACACGAGAATTACTGCTCTCTATTCAATGAAGAATTAGGAACCAATTAGTATTGAAGTTGTTCTGAAAAAGTCGTGAACTGGTCCCGAAAGGGTTTCGAACAAGTCTTAAAACGGTTTTATCATGATCCCTTACCCGAAATAGTCCTGAAACGGTCTAAAAATTATTCCGAATTAGTCCCGAAATGCTCCTGAAATAGTCCTAAACAGGCCCAAGGTTTTGGTCGAGAAAGTCGGGAACTTGTGCCAAAAGAATCTCGAAAAAGTCTTAACCCGATCCCGAAGTGCTTCAGTATCACTCCTAAAATGGTCCCAAACTAGCCCCAAAATGGACACAAAATAATCCTAAGCTATGTAGACCCAAAATTGTCCTGAACTAGTCTCGAAATAGTCCTTAACCAGTCTCGAAATGGTCCACATCTAGGCTTAAAATGGTCCTCAAATAGTTGGGAATTAGTCCCGAAACTGTACCGAAAGCGTATAAAAATCATCTCGAACTAGTCCCGACATGGTCCTAACCTAGTCGTCGCTAGCCCTGAATTAGAGAAATGTTCATTTCCACACAAGAATAATTACAGATTTTCTGATGGGTTACACATAAAGCAGATAAACATTTTATGCTGGGTTAACCCAAATTTTTGCCACACTGAGAGCTAAGATGTTTACACATCAAAAATCGATCTAAAACTTATAACTTCACTACCCTATTACAAAAGTTATGAATTTACGGTTATCGAATTTACGAAATTTTAATATAGAAATAGATAGTCGCGTGACATACGCGAACCCAGCGACTTATCAGAGAGGCTACCAAGAATTTTGAATAAATAGTTATAAGAAAAATTGCGGTGGGCCAAGCAAAACGTCAATAGGCGATTTCTCAGAAATTCCAACGACCAGATGAGATAAAGTAGTTCGGGCCAACGACATAATAATAATAATAATAATAGATTGGTGCTTACACATATGTTAGTGTTTGGCCGAGCTTCTCCTCCAATTTGTGGCGTGCGCCTTGATGTTGTCACACAAAGCGGAGGGACCTACAGTTTTACGCCGACTCCGAACGGCGATTGTATTTTTATGAGAAGCTGTTTTTCATGGCAGAAATACACTCGGAGGTTTGCCATTCCTGCCGAGGGACGACCGCTGTTAAGAAAAAACCTTTTCCTATATTTTTTGACCAGGGCTTGAACCCAGGCGTTGCGGAGTGGAAGCGCGCACTGCTTACCACTACACCACAGCGGGCCATCGACATACATATGTACATTAGGGCGGTCCAAAAAGTGTAAAGTCCGAATTTTAATGTTCTCACACCCTAGGATTGTTCTATATCGTAAAAAGTATACCGATTTTTTTTTTATTTTGAAATCAAAAAATTTTTAGAGGTCGCTCAAAGTGCTGAAACTTTTCCATATACACATTTTATATGGAAAATCCACTTTTCATAGAAATTGTATACATAGAATTCTTGAAAATCAATACTTTTCGATCGGACAACTCACGTTCTCTTCAGGAGACGTTCAATAGTAATACCCAATTGCTTATTTAACCATTTTTTAATACTAACGATTTTTTATTGGTTGCCCCAACCAATCAACAGTAGCCATTTGACATAAGAAGCCGTTAGGCGAAGAAAGAAAGAAAGAAGGAAGGTACTGCTATTATACATATTTACGTACATACATATTAGTTGCGATGCCGTACGAGTCCGGACTAGTCAGAAATAGTCAGAATCAGTCAGATTTTACTGGAAATCGATCCCGTACTCGGTTCTCTGACTATTGAGAGGACAAAAAAGAGAGTAAATATGATTCTCTCTCTGACAGAAGTTACCAGTTTTAGTCCGAGAATTTTTTGCTGGTAAATGTGTCAAACGATCAGCTGTAGTGTGTTTGGCAACCAAATTGTAAACAAAAGAAAAGTGCACTCTGCTAATTCATGTTGAAAAGTATTTAATTACTTGTTTAAGTGGATTCTAATGAATTGGAAAGTATTTTTGGTTATTTACATGTGTGAGCTGAGTGTGTTTACATTCAAAATAAGCAAAAATTTACAACCAAAATTTGGAGGTTATGTTGAAGTTGACAGCAGTTACCATTTTTTACTAGAAAGCGATCCCGTACTTTTCAATGTTACTCTTTCGCTCTGAGCGAATTTTTATTTTTTGACTAGTCCGAGTCCGAGGAATACGGGATTGCACCTATTAATACTAATGGATACTTACGTTCGCAATTTGTAGATAGGGTAAACTAATATTGAAAGTATCATTGGCATCGGCAAACCACACCAAACGTATATTGGTCACCACAAATGAACCCAAATTGCCTTGATCGCTAGACAAATTCCAAACACCGTTAACATTATTATAGACCAATTCGTCTGGCATAATTATCAGTTGTCCCGATAGTACAATGGCGCCACGTAATTTCAGGTCTCTGTACAGGTAGGTGCGTTGATATAATCTGAAGCGAAAATGCACCAAATAAAGAAAGCGTACCATTTTAAATTGAATTAAATATGAATGTAATATGTATGTACATACTGATATATTTCGAAAACGCTTTGAAAAATTGGCTTATTTTTGCGTGCCGTATCGCCAGAGACATCAGTGAAGAGAAATTCAAAACGCGTATTACTGCCGGTTGCCAGTATGTAGAGCGCTTGGGTAGGGCCACCCACTTTGGGGACCACTGAGCGTGTGTTGGTGTTGACAAAGCGAGCATAGCCGATAGCTTAAATATGAGAAAAATCAATTAAAAGTGTTTAAGGATTATATTTGAGAAATATCTACTTTTGCTAAGTACTCTATTTTCCTCTTACACAAATTATATTTTTTATGCGATAGGGAATACCAAATAATACGCAAATTGGTTGCTAAGAGTCGTCCAGTATCTCCAGGATTGCCTTTCGTATC